AATTCCTTTTATTTCCTGGGAATAGACGGAATGGTTTCAGGCTGCCTTTTCCATAATTTTAAATTCAGATTAGTCTTACTCGTAGACTCGCTACTATCCATCCATATATTTCATCTTTTCTCCCCTCCACTTATGAATTAGCATGGATTAAAGGGTTATTTTTTTTAAATACTATCTCTCTCTCCTGGATATACGCGATCGTGGCTCTCCACAGTTTCTACTTCATTATTATCTGTGTGTAATGAATTGATGATGACGATTAAATGCTAACTCGACACCTGAATCTTCATTACGTAATATTTTATTCACTTCAATATTTTCTCAGTTTCTCTCCGCCATCTGTGGATTATGGGCGGCTCTGGACCCTCTTTGTTAATTCTACATTCTATTTTTTGCGGGGGTTTGAAAGATTGATCGAGGTTGATGTTTATTACCTGTCTATATTTCTGAGATGAGGTATTAGGTACAATATTTACATTATTCGGTCTATTGTCTTCATCTTTGTCGCCATATTTATTACAACGTTTCGGCCGTTGTACGCTCCAGCCTTCTTCAAGTGGTTGGAATGTCGAACTTAACCCTTTATTTCGCTCACTGGGACACCATTGGAAAATTCGTAAACTTAAGGAATCAGCACATATGCTAGGCCACAAAAATCTCCTGAGTCGACCAAGCATAGAAATGAATACAATATGGGAACCAGTAATAAGGAGTGCCAGAGAAAAGCGATAATAACAACAAAAAGTTGCAATATGAGCTCTGGTAAAAACATGCAATTATAACAGCAAACTATGTTGTGCTAGACAATTTTTCTCGACAGAATCTATCTTAGACATTTATAAGTCTACGACTTGTCCATGCATTTTGCTGTCACATCTGGTCTGGTGCTTCTGTTATATTTAGAGATCCTTGATAAAATCCAAAGAAGAATCTGAAATGTTATTGGTCATAACCTGGCATCTCGGCTTTAGGCATTTTCCAACCGCCGTAAGGTAGCTCCCGTATGCCTTTACTATAAATATTTTTATGGCAATTGTTCTGATGGGATTTTCTCTATGGAACCAAGACTTTAGACTTGAAATTGATAGATGGAACTGTAACAGTTCCTTTTCTCACCCTTCTCGCTTGTGGAATTTCTTTCTGGCTTTCTTTTCTGTTAATTTTGATCTTCAAAAATGTAAATGCAATGTCAATCGTTATTTACTGTCTTTTTGATTCCTGTTCATTTGTTGTTATCTCTCTTGAATAATATTTTTCTTTTTATATTCTTTCACACTCAGTAACCCCTTGCATTTTAGTGGCTTTATTGCATTGCTTGGGTTGAAACAAAATCCTTAAAGCAGCAACATTATTCTTTGTTCGTCTTCACAAAACACTATGTTTGAGGTTTTAGGTAAAAATTAGTCACAATCATAGTTGAATGTGGATCCGGGGACACTTCAACATGGGGTAATGGTTAGTTAGCTTGACTTGCTAGATCAGTTAAGACTGAGTAGTGAATTCGATCCTCACTGGAAGTCATGTGGCACAACTAAGCCACGATTACTAATCATCATAGTTGAATCTGTAGGTAAATATTGGTTGGGGCAATACGTGACTCTTTATAACTAATATTGGTTAGGGATATACTTGAATCTGTAGGTAACATTTGTCACATTCATGCTTGAGTCTGTGGGTAAACAGTGGGAAGGTTCAGGTTTGAATCTTTGTGTAAACAGTGGTCATGTTTATCCTTGAGTCTGTGGATAAACAGTGGTCCTGTCCATGTTTGAATCTGTGGGTAACCAGTTGTCACATTCATCCTTGACTCTGTGTGCAAGCCATGGTTACGTACATACTTGATTCTCTGTGTAAGCAGTGATAAGGTTCATGCTTGAGTTTGTATAAAATCGTCATTTGAACTCAATTCCCGTTATCTAGTCTCGGGTTCGCCGTAATAGTTCCTGTGTCGCCCTATGAATTTTGCATCTGCCCCTTCTGTTGCTCATATAACACGAGACAGTAAGTCTCTACCCTGAGTGGTTCTTGAGCCTTGTATTTGGTGTAGATGAGTACAATAAAAATCTTTACTTTTATTGACATCATGTAACGTGTACTCACAACGCAAAGAAGAGATTGCCCATCTGACCCCATGGCATTTGACCTTTGCATCCTCTATAATTGAAATATGATCTCTAAGTCATTGGTTCTCTTTAATATTGATTGCTTGGTGTCAAAGGCGATACACAATTGCCACCGTTGGAAAGGTAGCCAAAGTTTAAATTAAGCACACCTCGTCCTGTCACTCTACCTTCACATTCCTTACCCTAAGCATGCTCACTTTTATATTCTTCCGTCTTATATTCGTTAAACCAACGTGAAATTCAATCATATAACTGTCAAAAGCCACACACATTCACCTACGTCCCAGATTTCATAGTCTCTTCTGCCCGCGACTAGTAACTTAATATTTTTTTCGTTACTTATCACTTATTGATACGGCCCTTAATTAAATGATCTGGAGTGTCCAAAAGTTGTTCTCTTATAAAAGGCATAATAATGCATTAATGCTTACACTAATAGCCTTGGAAAAGGAATGACTCTATTTCTTCTCTCCTCAACAGATATGCTATTAAATAGCATATTAGACAGGGCTCTCTATGCAGCCAATTTTGGAAGAGTACTTTGTATTCAACACCGTAGAGAATCCAACGAGAACCCCCCCCCTCCGTTATGATTGTCCCATAATAAAGAAAATCATTTTTGTGGAGGGACATGAACATTTAAAAAAAAAAGCATCTATGTAATATCATATTTCATAAAAATTGTCTTTTACCTGTTCAGTCATCAAAGGAGACACACCCTGCCATGTTCACGGTGACAAATCATCCATCATTCCCTTTGTGTTCCTTTGATAAGAAGCTAGTGCAAATCAAACAGCTTCTTCCCCAGAAATGTTGTAGAACAGACTCCTGAGAGGATGCTCTCTTGACAACTACAATGTTGGTCTCTTTAAGTCCAAGGTCAACCGATATGTCTCCTACACATCCTCATAATACTCTCTTATTCCCCACCCCCTCACTTACAAAAACCTCATCCAGTAAGTCTCTAACTTAAGTGGCCCTTGGGACTTGTATTGGGTGAACTTAACAGTAAAAATGTTAAAAGTGACGAGGACTGCTAGTGCAAATCACAGCTTCTTCCCCAGAAATGTTGTGGAACAGACTCCTGAGAGGTTGCTTCCCTGACAGCTACAATCCTAATCTATTTAAGGCAAGTTTCGACCGATATCTATCCTACACGTTCTCATAAGAGGCATTTCTTACTTCCTCCTTCACCCTTGCCTTACAAGTATTACATCCAGTAACCATCTATCTTGAGTGTCTCTTAGGCCTTATATCTACACCATGTAAATGATTAAATTATAACTACAAATCAATATAATACTAAATATAAAAGAATAATACATAAGTACAAATGAATGGTCAGTTGAATATTATTAGTATTTTGACTACTTGTTTGGTTTGTTTTGGTTTGTTTTACGGCATATCAACCTCAATGTAATATATTTCCTTCAAAATTGCATTGCTGGTAATAATATTTTTCAAAAAAATATTGCTGGTAATTGTTAACTATTTGCCCATAGCTGGGACCTTAACAGGTGCTACCACCCAGGGTCAGAATGGACCTGGGAACACCAGCAATTAAGAGGCGGTTCCACGCTCCTCAAAACCTCCTTGCTGTTGGACGTAGTTTAACGTCTTACCCAGGACGGACTAATTGTTCGTCGCTAATTTACAGGAGTCTGTTAAATGTCGAGAAGCTGTTTCATAAATCGAATATTATTAAACGTACGTGCTTGTTGACTCTTCTAGTGTTGAATTGCTATTCACCATCATCATCATTATCACCATCAGTCCCGTGACCGGATGTGGCTGTAGAATCCTCCTGCGTAGCTGAGAGCACCTGATCCGCTTTCTCAATATGTTTTCGTTGCGTGTCATTATCTGAGTCTTTGGGAATCATTATCGAGTCAATTCAATGATATTGTCAGTCACTGTTTGTCTCTTGTTCTTTTGCTTAAGGTCGTACTCTATAGGTGGTACTCTATAGGTGGTACTCTCTCTAGGATGACAGTGAAAAGATTTTTGCCCCTTAGTGATATATGTCTGTCCCTTTCTAACTTTCTCTTCTTGACACTCGTTATGAGGTCTTCCAATAGGTCTAAATTTAGCTTTTATTCTCCTCTTCTAATGACTATAGAATGTCGTGTTAAGGCGAATTACTTATTTAATTATATTGTTGACTGTAGTTAGTAACTACATAATAAGCAATAAGCAAATCATTAACAGTAAAGTTAGTTTGATTCTCACTACTCTTGTAGCCTTATGCCAGACTTAAATTAAGTAGATATCATCTCTATTTCTACTGAGATAAAACAGAATCAAACTGTTCATAACTTTTTGATCGACAAGTGATATTTTACTTCTTTTATGTTCTGTGTCACTTCAGGATGTAGCTCTCCATAACTTCCTACAATTTTAATTATGCTTCCTCCTTAATATTCCTCCAAGTCCTTATTCTATCATTCATTTACATAAACCCGTTAGACAGATTACAGGCTGTTTAATTTTCTCCCTATTACCTTCACTCTGCCCTGTGAGTGTCAAATTCTCCAAGCTTTATTTCCTTATTATGTGTATTAGAAATCTCAATTCTCTCTTTCTGATTTGACGCATAAGTGCCTTTTTTTTACATTTTCCTTAAAATTTAATCGTTGTCTATATGCTCCGCCCATGGTATTCTCATCGTCCTTCTGTAGAACCAAATCTCTGTTAACTCTTCATCCCTGAGAAAACTGTTCTACATTCAATGCCATATGGAAGGATTGATATTACCTAACACTTCAATACACTTTGTTTCTAACAAACATCAACTTTCGAGATGTGAAGTATCAAGTGTGAGGAGTGGAAAGCCAATTAGTAAATCTAACAAAGCAAGCAATAGCACACCTAAACGAACTAAATGAAAGGGAAGAACGGGTAGATGACGGCGGCATATGTGTGTCGACTATTAAACGCATCTTGCAGGCAGCGAAGGAAGCAAATATCACAAGAAGTAGTAAGAGAATTACAGACTGCTGGAAGACTTGGTTGCGTGGTAAAGAAAGAAACATAAGTCTCTAAGAGGAAAACCAAATCTGAAGACACCCTGTACCAAGATGTCTTTAGACAGGGTGTATCAAAGAAACTTTTATAATCTTTGTGGGTGGGTTGCTGAAGTCGAAACAATGTCAAATCTTTATATAAACATATGTCGAAAAGAGTTCAGCACAACAACTCATAACAAATGTTCAAAATGTCCTCCACTTGTTTCTATACACGCATGCACCCGTCGGATCACTGATTGGCGGACCATTTCAAATACTCTCACACGGTGCCGAATGGTTTCACAGGCTTCCATGTGACCTTGATGAAGCGTCTCTGCATGATTAATGTCTTCTACATAAAACAAGTGTTTTAACTGGCTCCACAGATAAAACTCCAAATTATTGTGGTCCGGGAAACGTGCAGGCCATAGAACCGGTTCTCGTCTTCCTATCCATCTTTCATGGTAGATGTCAGCCAGAGCATGGAGTACAATGTGACTAAAATGTGTTGGAGACCCATTATGCATGAACCACACGCATCTTCATATTAGCAGGGATACATCCTCTAGCAGGTCTGGAATTGTGTTCGAATTAAAGTCCCTGTAGACAGCGCCTGTAAGAACATATGAACCGCCCACGCAATACAACACATTAATAGTAAACTGCTGTTGTTGTCTAGCTTGTATTGTACCATGGCGATTCCTATCCGCCCACAAATTATGGTTGTGTAAATTTGTTAATCCATCTCTTCCAAATGTTGCCTCATCCGTAAACAAGACCGAAGAGATAAACAACGGATCGACAGTTTGTGCAATAAAACATCGGCAAAAGTTTTCCCGTGGAGAATAATCAGAGGGCAAAAGACCTTGCACTCGTTGCAAATGATGCGGATACAGGAGCTGCTCTTGAAGTACCCTGCATGCGGTACCATGAGATGTACGACATGCTAGAGCCACTTGGCCTGTGCTCATACTTGGACCGTCTCCGACAGCCTGTAGAATGTATTCTTTGTGGTCATGCGTACGAGCGGATCTTCCTCGATTCATATATTGTGGTGTCACGGATCCTGTCTCAGCAACACGACGATTAGCAGCTGCAAAGATTGGATAACTCGGATGCCTTCTGTCTGGAAACGCAGTTTGATACAGCCGTGCAGCCTTGCGTCCATTACCATTCGCGCAGCCGTATGTAAAACTCATATCTGTCTGTGCACGATATGGATTTTCTGCTATTGTTAAACGGAACATTTGTCAGTTAACTCACAACTATACACGTTAAATGTTGAAGACAGACTAGTTACAAATTTACATGAATAAAAATGTAACATAGTCTAGTTAACAACATAGCACCATCTAACGTAAACTTTCTTTTATGTTTGATACACCACGTATATATGATCTACATATCTAAACTTTGCTCAGAGTTTAAGATTTACGCGCGAATATATTTATATGATTGATGTTTTTACGGCTTATCGGTCATTTGTGGGTTATTTAAAGCCGAAATATATTATAGAGTGTAAGTTTTAATGGGGTTTCTTGGCGAGTGAATATTGCATTAAAAACGATTTTTCCACATACAAGTTCTACTATTTAACCCATAGTTGTGTAAGAAGAGTTGGTTTTACACTTTTCTGAAAGTGATTTGTTTAAACTTAATGTAATGAACATGACTAGAATTCGTTCTCATCATTCTGATTTCTTATTCTATAGCACAATATAAGAAATCTCATATAAAGCTATCTATTACATGACGCGCACATCTTTCAGTATCTTTAAAATAGTGAGTAAATAATAAAAATACGATATGAGGAAAGGTGGTAAAAATGAGAGAAAAATGGCGGTAAATAAATAAAGAAGAACGCAGTCAAAAGTGTTGAGAATATCGTATTAAAGAGATTGATAGATAGATAGAGAGTAGGGAGTAATGAAAAAGTCTAAAAATGAAGAGAGAAATACAAAGAAAGCGAGCTGGTGGCTCAACAATAGACAGCTAAGTAGGAGAACGACGGAAAGAGAGTAAAAGAATGAGTAATGAAGAGAGATGAACGTTCCAGATGGATAGACGGGGGGGGGAGAGGAAGAAGAGTAAATGGGAGCTTTGGAGATTAAACTTTGAAGAAAGAAGTGTGTAAAGATGAAAGATGCAAGAAAAACATCTTTGAATAGCCACCAGCGGACAATCATTCTAATTACGAATTGAGTTCCCACCCAAAATGTTGACACAATACTGTCTTAACGATTTTGACGTCAGTGACGTCAAGGAATAAGCCATGGCATTGTCAAGTTGAATGAATGAAAGGGCACAGGCGTCTCGCTCTGAACATGGAGCTATTGTACAGACTACTGTCTGGCCAAGAGTCTCTACTTTCACTTTCACTTTCACGTTCTACATATATATATATATATATATATATATATATATATATATATATTAGGATATTACAACGAAAACATGTGTAAATCGCTGCACAGTCGTGTTTCGACGCGTATCAATGCATCTCGTCAGGCAATGGTAAATTATTGGCGAGTGAACGATTTATTTAGATTTAAAAGCAAAATCCACCCTCTTTTTTACGAAAAAAAAGATGGGGGCTTATGTTGTCTGTGGGTTTTACTCTGATCAACCAATCTAATATGACATACGTTAAATTTAAACTAAGCAAAGAAGCAAAAATTAAGAAATTATTTTTCATAAATGGTAATGACATGTAGATTGGCAGTAAATGGCAGCACAGACTAAATAAATTAAATGTTAATGTTGTACTCTGTTCATTCTTATCTTACTGGATATATATATATATATATATATATATATATATATATATATATATATATATATATATATATATATGTGGGGGTGTAGGTGTGCATGCATGAATGCTAACTGCATGCAAAAGTTCTCAGTGCAAATCCTCGTTTGGAAATATATTATATAGAATAGAAAAACAAATGTTAAATACCCAAATAAATATGCTGTATACTTTTACACACACCTAAATTATGAATAGAATAAACCGTGTGTACACCCTTACGCAAATTAATTGAAACAAAACGAATAATTCTGTTATTATTCACTTTTTTTCGTATTTTTCCAATGAAACATAATCCAGTGGACAGGTTAGTACATCGTATGTCCATTCCATGAAGTTGTTCCTTGCAGATTGACCACAGATTCTCGATTGGATTTAAATCAGGAGAGTTTCCGGGCCAGTCTACAGTACTTTGATTTGCTCACTGGTAAGGCTTGTCTCTGTTTTTTGCAGCGTTACAATTTTCGTACGCTTCCTTAGAGTAACTTTCAATGCAGACAATGGCCGCAGGACAACTAATCGACAGTCCAGACAATAGTGTTTGAGCGTGATAAAAATCTGATGCATTCACAGATGACGCAATATTTTTCAAGGCGAAACAAATTTCATCATAGCCCCCGAAAATAGATTCATATTACTGCACACCACTGAAAATGACCTAATTTGAGGAAAAAATAGAAATTGATTACACTCTGTCACTTCAGTGGATCTAAGACATATGGTGAAACAAAAAAGGAAACTAAAGCGGCTGTTTCAATTAATTGGCACAAGGGTGTATGAAAATGTAATGTCTATTATACAACAGTGTTTATTAAATTAAATATTATTTATTAATATTATTGACATTACTATAGTTAATTGGTCCGCCCGTAAAAATATTCTGGAATAATTTCTGTAGATTACTATTAATTACCTTTCATCACGATGATAATCAGAAATGAAAAATATTTTTATAATCTTAAAATATGAGTCCTGTTCATAATATAAATACCGTATCAAATCGATATGTAACTTCTTGAAGAGTTATGTCATTGATAACTACATAGTACCGAAGAGGTATGTCATTAATAACTACATAGTACCGAAAAGGTATGTCATTGATAACTACATAGTATCGAAGCTGTTCTTTTTCCTAATTCCGGATTGCTCTTTTTTATTTAAACAGGTTGGTATTTGTTTTCTTTTCTACAAAGATTTATTTTAAATAAAAAAACAAACGAATATATACATTTTTCTGTGATTTATATTTTATTTAATAAAATATTAAAACAAATGTCGGCAGCTCAGATGAGCTTTTTCTAAGTTTGGGGTCTACGTTCGCACTCAACCGAATAAACACGACAAAAATAGTATGGTGAGAGAAAGGAAACTAAAGCGGCTGTTTCATTTAATTTACACAAGGGTGTACTTGTAATTTTTTTGTTTGTAAATTCTTGCTGTACTAAATCTATGTCCCTTGAAGAGTGATGCCAAATGGCAACCTTTTATGACAATATCGGACTGATCCAAGATCTTAACGAAGCCGGCACTGGAAAAAGCAATGAGAAAATGCAGAGTATAACAGGAATAATTCAAAAATATATTTAAAGACTTACGCTTAAAAACCAACTTTCTAATGATAATGACTTAACAAAATAAGCTGTTATTTCTGTGGCATTGATAACCTAACATTAGTAATAGGTTCTTTTAGACATAAAATGGGGGATCAGTTATCGGTTGTTGTGATGTAATAAACTGATCTCCCATGAAATGCTAAATAATTAATATAAATATAAATATATTTAAATACTCACATGCAAAAGATTAGCAATAATAAGGACTTAATAAGATATAAATGTGTGTGTATGTATATAACTGAAGATGTCAGTGTGTGTGTGTCTGTCTGTGTGTCTGTCTGTGTGTAGGTATGCTGTTTATGCACCTTTACATTTCTCGACTGATTTCGATGAAATTGTACACACATGTTGTAAATTTATTATATTAGGTCAAGACCAACATTTCAATCTCCAGGACTCCTGGGTTTTGCAGAAAAAGAAAACTGAATGTAGGTACGGTTTTTTGCAAAAAAAAAAGTTACAGGCCAACAATTGTTACTAGATGAGCTAATGACTTAATGCAAAACATAACTCATGTTACGAGTTTTATGTAGAGTGCTTGATACTTTCCCTGCTGCATTGGCTTTACATAAAAACTGTAAAACACTGTAGAAAAATCGGGTTTTCATAATACTTCAAATAAAACTTGAATAGCTTCCTCATTTTTTTTATCCGATTTTCTTCAAAAACGTCGCAAAAAATTTGCCATCACGCAGGAAATAATATATTGTGGCTTTAGTCTTGCTCGCTTCCCCGCGTATAAAGAAAAACCACGAAAAAGTGTTCAAAAGCCTGTTCTTTCACCATAACTTCCTGGTTTTTTATCCGATGCTTACTAAATTTGCCACACAAATTGCCTTGCGTGGATGTTTGGTTTAGATTATTTCAGTTAAGTGGATGAAATCTGCGACAAACTAGGTCCATTTAGCCAATAGTTTCTTCATATGATTCCATGCTTAATTAACATTCGAACAACATTTGATGCAAAGATTGTTTGAGAAGGATTATTGAAGCGTTAACAGGAACATTTTCCCGAAGAACCTCTTATTAACCCCAGCTTTACAGTAAAGACGGGGGGGAGCGTTCATGCGTTTACACTTGCACTTGAATCAAGCTCTGACGCTTCATCCCTGTTTTTGTTTGATTATTAGACTTGTGAACAATGTCATACTATTTGAAAGTTATTATGGCCATAGGAAATTTACTGAATATCTAAAACATTGAAACAATTTAACTCCGAGGAACGACCACGCAAGAAGGTTTATCGATGGAGTGTCAATCAAACATTGTCGAAGGACATATCGTAAAAAAGATGAGGCTAGGAGTCGCTTCGTATACGGATGATTCATGCAAGCGAGAACGATGGCAGATATTTCTGTACACCCGGGCTAGTATATATATATATATATATATATATATATATATATTGTAGTGATGGGTATTGGATTGGATTTAGGAGTCGTATAGCCGAGCTCGAATTCCAGTCAAGTTCATTATATTCAGTTTTATACTAATACCATTGGGAAAGAAATGAATCCATCTCTTCTCTACTTCAGCTAGGTAAATAGGGCAGATTGGGTCCTATAGCCTTGAGTGGCGGTTGGTCTAGGGGAAGGACAATCTGAATTCAAAACCCGCAGAGGATCGTTTGGGGATATTGTGGCATACTGTGCATTATTTCTTTGCATTCGTCTCTTGCCAAAAGTAGGGTTGGTTTTGAAGAAGCATTCACCACTATAAACAAATGGTATGTGCAAGTATTCCGTTTGTTTATCCTAACAATTGAGCTGCTTGACCCTCATACGACGAAAACGGCGGAGAGTCAAGTATATATATATATATATATATATATATATATATATATATATATATATACAGAGAGAGAGAGAGAGAGCGAGAGAGAGCGAGAGAGCGAGAGAGAGAGAGAGACAGAGGGGTTGCAAAATTAGGTATACAGTAAGTATTGTACTAGTATTACCAATGTTTCTATCACAAAAATATGATTTGTGCATCCTTTTTTGTTTCCATTACTGTATATCCACATTTGCATCCCCTGTAAACACACACACACACACACATACACGCGCGCGCTCACACACACACACACACACACACACACACACATATATATATATATATATATATATATATATAGGTAATAATCCGTTGGTAAATAATCCCAGTGACTCCTAATAATATAAAATATTAAAAATGATCCACAAAAGGCGCTCAATACATTTATTATAACATCATAGAAATTTCATAGAATAATAATCCAAAGTTATCTAATTCGAATAGCTATTTCCATATATATATATTTTTTTTTTCCATTCCCTTTTTTTTTTGGTATTTTCTCGTCTCCACTCCACTCAGCTAACCATTCATCTTTTCATGTCCTTCTTTTCTGTCTCACTCTTCTGTGACAGAATTTTTTCTCCTTACCTTCCTTGCAACGTTTCTGCCATCCAGGTGACAGCCTGCAGACAGTTGGATTTGACATGCTATTGAAACATTAATTACAGACAACATCATGAATAGAAGATAACGGACTTCAGACTATGTGAAAGTGAAAAAAAGATGAAGCTTGTTATTCTATAAATGGATTAACTGATAAATATGATAAAAGGTAGTAACGATGACAATAAGAATGGCGAATTAAGCATTAGACACCGTTCAAGTATCTTCACACTAGGCCAAGAGAACCAACACACGTGTTCTCCTTTTTAAAAGAATCTTTGTCCATATCCTTTGGATTCAGAAACTCTGCATTCTGCAATTG